AAAAAAAGAGGTTGGTTGTGGCAACATTTATGTCCATGAAAATAAGAACTGGGTGAACTAGTCCTTAAATATCTAACACCAAGTGAGATTAGCTAGTACTGTAATTTTGAAAAACTTGGGAATGAAGAACAGACCATTGGAGATGAGTTGATACAGATAAGAATTATTGAAGGATTACACAATGAAATACAAAATGCTTGAGCAACATCAATTAAGAAAAGTATCTTTGAATTTTTCTGTGAAATTCGTATAAATGACTAAGAAATTCAACAAGTCTGAAAATCAACAGGTAAATTTAGAAATTGCCAATACATGCTTCTTAAAGGAAACAAAAGACAAATGTCAATATTGTGAGTATATGCACAAGAGGAAGAAAGACAAGTGCTCAGTGTTTGAAAAGACATGTAGAAAATGTGCAACCCCCCGCCAAAAAAAAAACAACCTAATTCTATATGTAGAGTCAAAAAGAAAGATATTGAAAGTATCAATCAGAAGCAACATGGAAATCAAAATGAGAGAAACATTTCTGTTAAAAGAAAATGCAAAGAACTTTTTAATGCTAGTTAATAAAGTTTTAATTCAGAAATGCAGATGGATACAAGCAACAAAGTAACAATCATTGCCAGAAATATTGTGGAACAATGAAGAATGCAAAACTTATAAAAAGACTTGTCTACAGATTCGACAATTTGATGGTTCAGTTATACAAACACTAGGATGTTTTGAAGAAATTAGGCAAAAGATTTAAAATAATATCCATAATTGTTGTGGCCTGTAATAATCATCATAGACTTGTTGGAAATTATGTACTCAAACTTAATATCACAAAATTAATTAATTCTGTGAGTACTGAAGAAACTGGCATTCAAAAATATTATAAGGAAAGGCACATGTTAAATGAAAACTACTTGTTGCTACCCAACAAGAAAGTTGCCAGTACAGTTGGTCTCATTAGCAATAGTGACATTAAGAAAGGACTTTTTTCAAAAGTCTTTGAATATGAGATGATTATAGAGTGGGAGTTAACCATAAAGTTTGCTTAGATTCATACAAAATTCTGAATATCAAAGTAGCATTACATTCATTAGCAAGAATGAAAATCTTCATGAAAGAAGTGATGACAATATATCCATGGGGTTACTGAGATGGACAAGAATGCAATATGAAATAAAAATGGCTACTGCTATTTTTCAAGGAGACATCGAATAAGTCATTTGTGATGATACAGAAAATATTATCTGCTATCAAGATAATATTTGCATAGAGGCCAGAAATGAAATAGAACCAAAGAAAAAGAAAGCTGAAATTGTGTTGAAAAAAATTACAAAATGTGAAAAGAAAAATAAACAATAAAATATTGTATGCAACTGCAGTGAAATATCATTTCTAGGATATTCCATATCAAAGAAGGGTGTATCTTCAGATCACACTTTGAAAGTATCAGTACCAAAAAAATGAACTGGTATTATATTTAGGATTAATATATTTTTTTAAATTTTAAATTATCAGTCTTACATTAATATCCTTAATTTCTGTGTTAGTTAAAATGGTGGCCATATTTCCTGTGTTGGTTAATATGACTGCCCTTTGTTCTGTGTTGTTTTTATGATACTTTTATCAAAAAAGATGTTATTCGTTGTCGGCATTATCCTCTTCTTAGTTAAAACCTTTAATGGTAACTCCCTAAATTCTGTTCAAACAAAGACACATATTAATGCTGCCTGAAAATAACAAGTGATGTTGCTGTCTACTGCATGCACTAATCCTAGTAGTTGTAGAATGAAGACCAAACTATTCAGTGTGAGCTACAAATAAAAACATTTTATGACAAATAAGAAAGAAATGTACAAGTGTGGTTGGTGTATAAAATGAACATACCTGAAATGTACAATTGTAGGAATCTTTTTTCAGGATTATGAAATATATTTTGGTTATGAAGCCTGCATTTTGGGAGACATTAACACATCTTTCTACAATGATGGACTGATGAAAAAAGGCTGAACCTCATGACCAAGGGCCCGAGAGGAAAAAAAAAAAAGAGGTAGAAAGGGGCTTACTGCTCCTTTTTAGACATTATAAATATAGTGATTCTCCTTTGTTCTGCAGTAACATAATGTAATGTTTATTTTTGTTCAGGGAAGTAAGTGTGACATACATTCAGCTAAATTCCAAATATTTAAATCTACTGAAATTATTGTTATACACTCCTGGTCAAAATCTTAAGACCAGATACAAAACAATTTAATATTCAGTATATCCTCCATTTTTGCGAATTACTTCAAAAATTCGCTTTGTCATACTCATTATTAACTTCTGCGTGAGGGTGCTTGCCCCAGATGCATAAACTGCAGCACAAAGGGCATTCACAGTTTCAAATTGCAATCCATGTTTATAAACATCCTTTGTCATCTATCCCCAAACATTCTCGATGGGGTTTAGATCTTGAGAGCCTGGTGGATGGCTCAAAAGCTGAATGTTGTTTTCCATAAAAGACTCCTTCAACCTTTGAGCATCGTGGATTGCAACATTGTCCTGCTGGAAAATCCAGTTTTCTCCACATAGATGAAGGCCTTCAATAATTAGCAATGTCTTTCTTAACATGTTAATGTAACTAGCAGCTGTTTGATGACCTTTTGCCTCCTGTAACTCGAGAGTTCCATTGTACAAAATGAACCTCAAACCATAATTGATTCACCTCTGCTGTGACATGAGAAAATTTCTTTTTGGACATCTTTTGCATGCCAGTAAAAGTTATCCACATCCCAAGTTTGATAATTGGAAGCAAATTGTAAATGGGAGATTTTATGGTGATGAAGAAGGCAAGGCCTCTGCAGCCATTTCACATCATAAACCCTTTTTTATTTAAATGCCATTGAATTGTTCGAGAGCTGCATTCAGCAACTGTATTCACTTTTATCTGATTTGATGTTAAGCTTGAATCTCTCTTAACTTCTCACCTAATGTGTCTGTCTAGAGATGGTGAGATTTTATTGGGGCGACTGCTTGATTTTTTTAAAAGCATACACATCGAGTTTTTTAATGAAGTTAGCAATGACAGTTCTGCTATGGTCAATGTCATTTGTGATGACTCATCGTGAAAGACATCTTTGAAGTTCAACAATCCTGCCCTTTTGAAACTTTGTTAAAATTTTACTTTTAGCCATTTTAAAATCTGAAATTTAATGCTGGAAATGAGCTAAGTATATGTTTACATGACTGAAGCTATGAGCACACTGACTAGTTCTAAAATTTTCATCCAATAATTTTTTTTTCACACATGGTCTTATCTTTATGATCAAGCAAAAAAAAATACTTTTTCAATGTTTGTTTAAAATAATTAAAAGCTTAAAATTTTCACTTGTTTGTTGATAAACTACATTTTCTAATTAAATGTAAAATGTTTTGCAAATATATTTTGATTAACAGTATTTTATCATTTTTAACACTTTTGTATCTGGTCTTAAGATTTTGACCAGGAGTGTATGAAAAATGTCTATATTAGATGCTTTTATATTCATATTGGTGACAATATCCTAATGGAAAACCTAACATATATTGCATAAATTTTATTTATTAAGTGTTTTGGGTAGCTTGTATTATTTGTAAATATAGAGATTTTTAATTTCTTAGACTAGCTAAACCTATCATCTTAACTATACTGAGCTGATACCTCCATATTTGTCATGGCTACTTATTTTGTTTATAATTTTGATGTTTAAAATTATAACATTCTCTTCTTGATACTGATCAGTGATGAACAACTGTTATGGAACTTCTGGACAATATGTATATATAGATAAACAAAATAAACATTATCTTATATGAGACATAAAAAGATATCAAATATAAATTTCATTAGTGCTATTTAATAAAACCTCTTATATATACAGGGTCTCCCAAAATAATGTATACACTCTTTAAATATTAATAGTTAATAATACATTACCATGATGTGAGAACTTATATGGATGAAAATATGAAAAACAGATGAATTAAAAAAAGAGGGACATTTGATTACCCACCTAGATTACCAGATTTGACACCCTTGGATTTCTTTTTTGTGGGGGTTTCTAAAAGACAAAGTTTACAGTAGGAAACCTGAAGCAATTGCTGAAATGAGAGTAACAATTGAAGAAGAATGTGCTCAAACACCAGAGAAAAGATACTGGATGTTTGTAGGTCTATTTCTTGAAGATATGAAAAGTGTATTAAACAGAATGGCAACCAATTTGAGCACTTGATGTGAACTCATCATTATATGAACATTCTGCCATTGCCCCAATTAGCTTTTATCTTATTAAAGTTAATTTTCTATGTTTTTTGTATATTTTACTCTCAAAGTCTTTAAATGTGTATTCTTTCTCTTGTATTAATTATATTTACAGGTCAAAATACATAAATTGAATAAATTATAACGATTTAAAGAGTGTATACATCATTTTGGGACACCACGTATATGTCTGTGTGTGTGTATATATATATATATATATATATATATATATGCTTTTTGTGTGTATTTAGGCAGCAAATTCTCTTTTTGGTATGTCCAATGACCTATCCTTGGACCTATGTTGTTTCTTTTCTTCATCAATGACCTTCATCCATTCTCAACTCGGTATTTATACTGGTGATGCAACTATTTACTCCTAAGTCCAACAAGTGTAATAAAGTAAAACTTATCTTGAAAATGCCCTCCAATAACAGGAATGCATGTCATCATAGAAAATATAAAACAACAGAACTAAAATATCAGATTTATTAACAGAGATCAATCAGATTTACAATATAGAATTTTGAAAGCAGTGATATCCATCCATAAAAATTGAAACATATTTATATTAATTTTTTTAGGATGATTTTTTTTATTCAAAAGCCCATGTAATTATAAGAAATATATGTGAAATTAAAAACAAAGGAAAATTACTTTCACTTTTACCATTTCCTAATATTCTGCCAATCATTAAAGTTCTTTTAAAAGATAAATAATGAAAATAACTTACTTTGGTCAGAAGTACAAGAGCATGGCTTTCAATAGCAACTTTGATGGTATTGCAAGTATCAATATGAATCTCTTCAAGCTCCTGGAAGTAAAAAAAAAAAAAAAAACAAGTATTCATTACTATTATTGTCAATATTACTGAACCTATAATTAATCAATATAAAACTGCATCAACAAACTCATGCAATATTAAAGAAGTGATTATAATATTATAATAAATATCATAATATCCAACAGTCTAAGTGCAGATTATCCAAAATCAAGAAATAACAATCAAATCAAAATTACAGTCCACTTTTTTTCCATTTTGATTGGAAATTATATGCAAACTGTTTGATAATCTGATTAAACTGGCAAGCAAAACTTTTGGGCCACCTTAGTAAATTAATTACTTTCATTAATTTTCCCTTCAAATTGAGACTGATTAACAGTGTTTCTCAGTACATTTTATAATCTTTGAGAGTCATAAAACAAGTTACTGCATTTTTTTTAATAAAGTATGGTGGAAGATAGAGCATGGTGATTCTGAAAAAGGGCTATGCAAAAATATTGAACCAAAATTTGACCTTTCAACTCTTTATTTAAGTTAAAAGAAATTTTTTCTTTGAAAAAAGTGATCTTTAATATTACGAAAAGTACACAACATCAAAGTATGGATTTAGTAATTAGTGTTGTTGCTTTTGTCTTAAGTAATTGCTTCAATTCAATGTGCTATTGAATGGAACAAGGTCCAGATTTTCTCATCAGGAATTTTACTCATTATTTTTGCAGTAACCCCAAAGATCTCAGAGATTGCATGGTTTTTACTGGAGCACTTGTTTCTTCACTTCCCAAGACAATGGTTCAATTATATCAAAATCAAGACTTTGTGCTGACAAGTTTTCTAAAAGTTGAACATCTACATTCATAAGAATCCTTTTTCTTGCATATGATGTATGGCAAAAAGTACTGTCACGGTGAAAATTTATCCAGCTTAATAGTCAGGAAAATGATTTGACTGTAGTAAATTAATATATTTTTTGCTGTTTAGGTTTCCATCAACCTTTTAGAAATTTTCTTCTACTATCCCTTTTAATGCAAGTCCATACCACCAAATTTTACCATCTTTGTGGTGTATCTTGCATTGCTTCTGTCTTGCATATTTTCTTACATTAGTATGTAACTATTTTGTTTCATTATTAAAAATTACTTTTTGCTACTTTCCAACATATCATGTTTGATGTTCTTTTGACCAATTCACTCATGTATTCCAATGTTTTTGGTTAATGATTTTTTGGGCTGTTATATGCCCAGAAAAACAAAAAACCCTTCAACACCTGATATCCAAATATCTCAACCAGAAATAAGCAACAAGAGGTATATTTATAGCTTTTCTGAATGGTACCAACAGAAAAGTTGACAGTGACTGTAAAGTGAAAAATGTTTTGTTTTGCTTCCCATTTTTGTTGTTTGGAAGTGATGTAAGATGGACAAAAGACGGGTTTTAAAAATATAAACAAAATGAAAGAAAAAAACTAAAAAAACATGAAAGTGTAATCAGGAATGTGGTTTCACTGTCACTTTTAGGAAATGTAAATATTCAGGAGAAACTTGATGAGGCATACAGACTTTCAATCAATGAGCATAACATGAAAGTTAAAAAGAACTGTGAAATTTTACTTATATGGAACCATGTGCTTCACAGTTCCAGTAATATAGTATTTGGTTTTTGTGCACATACACACATGTCTGAGGAAAGAAGCTGAACACTGGTTAGAGAGAGCACTGTCACTCACGCAGTGCTGACCCTGTTGTCCAAGTGCAAGGTAGTGTTTATTTTTGACTCAGCATGTGCTGCCATAAAAACCATGTTCCATATTCTTGAATGTGATAAACTGTAGATGACTATCAGGCTTCCAGCTATTCTAATTCATTGGTTTTTTTTTTGTTGTTTTATTGTATAGAAAAATTTAATAATTTAAGCCTGACCTCCTTGAATCCCCCAAAAATAAGTCATGTGGCAGTAAATGAACTTCAACAGCTTGAGTTTTTACAGTTGTCTCTCCATGAGAAATTTACAGTTAAGAAAAGAGACTGTTCAACACCTGATATTCAAATATCTCAGACAGCAATAAGCAACAAGAGGTATATTCAAAGCTTTAATTTGGAATGTTATGAACAAAAAAGTTGGAAGTGATGTAACATTGACAAAAGACGGTTTTAAAAATATAAACAAAATGAAAGATAAAGCTGAAAAATATAAAAAAATCAAAGAGGCATATTGAATATATGGTTTCACTGTCACTTTTAGGAAATGTAAATATTAAGGAGAAATTTAATGAGGCATACAAACTTTCAATCAGTAAGCATAACATGAAGGTTAAAAAGAACCATGAAATTTAATCCAAAATAATAAACTGTATTTTATTTTGTGGAAACTTTGAAGCTCCTTTATATGGACGTGATGAAAAAGATGATTCCATAGATCCATTGGTATTTAGAGGATTAATAAATTTTGCTTCTAAATTAGATCCAGATTTGAAGAATCACTTAGAAACCAGTGTGGTATCCAAAGGTGGATCAAAGACCATTCAGAATGAGATACTTGACTGCCTGCTACAAATATACCATGAGGAGATAAAGACGGAAATTAGGGAAACTTTGTTTGTAAGCATCATGGCTGATGACTAAAATGGTCATTGTTCTATGCTAAGTGTTGAATGAAGAAATATTTGAGTGTTTTTTGGAGTTTCTTTATTTCTGAAAATCAAACTGCAGATGGCATATCAAAACATATTCTAGAACAGTTAAAAGTAATCCTTCAAGGAAATGGATAGTTCAGACATTTGATGGTGCAAATGTCATGAAAGGCAAAAACGGAGGAGTTCAAACAAAAATAAGAGCAGTTTATAATAGTTCACATTTCATTCACTGTTATTCACAGCAACTTTATTTAATAAGAAATACAGCAAGTATTGTATGAAATGCAAGAATATTTTTCTTTAACATTTTGGCTATTCTAACATTCTTCTCAAGATCACCAGAATGCATATCCATTGTCAAAAAGTGTATAGATGTCAGCATTCCACATCCATTCTTTACAAGGTGGAACTTTAACATACAGACCATGTACTGAGTTCATCAAAATTTGAAACCTTTAATAAACTACTTTGCTGAAATTTAGTCAACATCAAATTCAGATCAAACCACTGTAGAAGCAACAGGAATTTTAAAATACCTGAATGATAATAATTTCATGCTTTTTCATCAGATTATGTCTCATGTTGAAGTAATTTACAATCAAGATGAAATCTCAAGAAATTAGTGTGTTTGAAGTCAATGAACAGATTTTAAAACTGCTAGTTTAGAAATAAGAAACTCAAAGTACTGTGGGAATCCTTCAAAGACATAGCAGAAGAAATGGAGGTGTGTGAATGCATATGTGTTGATATAATGGACAGATATTCTTCTGCTAAACAGTAGCTACTAAATTGTTCAATAAGAAAAGCTTTACTAGTTTTAAGAATGAACTACTTACAGAAAAGATAGTACTGACTACTGAAGCATATCCCATGGTTGACAAAGAAAAGCTTGAAACTGAACTAAAAGTATTCTATCATAAATCTGATATTCATGAATATTCCAAATTAATTGAGGTACTGAAATTTATCTTGGAAAATAATCTAGATGTTATTCCTAATGAAATTAAGAAACTGCAAAAAATCCTCTTGACAATTCTGATCACTACATCAGAGCCAGAACACTGGTTCTCAACATTGAAAAGAATAAAAAAAATCTTTCTAAAGAACACTATGAATCTTGAAAGACTAAATGCACTTGCAGTGCTTTCAATAGAGAAAAATTTCTTCAACAGTCATCCAGAGATAAAGGAGAATATCATTAACCTTTTCACTCAAAGTAAAACAAGAAGAATGGATTTCATTTTTAAATGAATGGATTAAACTTGAACTGTAACAATTTATAAGTAAGTAAAAAGTTATTTTTTCGTTTAGGATTTTATCAAATTTATGTATAAATTTTCTTTTTATGTGTTTATTGCATTTTACATAATACTAAAGCAATGGCTAAAAGTTTTCTGAAGCAGCAATCCCAACTAATTTTAGCCACAAGCCAACACTGCTACTGAGACTTTTTTATCCTGTTTGCCAACAGGATAAAAGAGTTGCAGTGTTGGCTCCCAATTTTTTTAAAACAACTGGAAGAAAAAGCTTAACCAGTGATCATTGCAAAACTAATCCAGGATATAAAAAGGCCTCAAGGCATGAAACAAGTATGACTTGAGGCAACATAGATGTGGTTCTACAGTAGGATGCTGAGAAAATCTGAGTATGTAAGCAATGCTGAAGTTTTAAAGAATATGGAAACAAACAAGACACTTATACTTAAAATAAGAAAGAGACAGTTGAAATTTCTAGAACACATAATGAGGAAAGATGGCTTGAAGAATTTGACACTCACAGGACATATTAAAGCCAGCAGTGGAAAACACCAAGTAAACTACATAATTAGCTTGGGTAAATGGATGTTGGAACAATGACTGGGATGGATAGTAAAAACACAAACATTGTTAAGAGTGACAAAGGACACGGAGTTGTGATTATCCCCAACCTGAAAGGACAGTGCATAGAAGAAAAATAACAAAAATCACTTATGTTATTATTAAGGGATGTTATTGTAATAAAGAATAAAATGTTTATATTCAAGAGAACAAAACAAACAAATATTAATGATCAATAATGAACATTGCATTGATCAGATCAACATGTATTGATAAAGAAAAATAATACTTCTCATATCATCAATATTCATAAAGCCTATACTTAAAGAACATAAAATATAGACACCTGCTGATGATGTAAAATCTTTCATACACTCACTTCCATGATTCCATATATTCACCCCATGAACAACAAAAAACAAAATAACCTTTCTTCAGCATACCAAATATCTCTCAATACACTCAAAAGTTATATATCATAATAATACAAATAGAATTAAACCAATTTACCCACCCACATATCCAAAGTTTTCTTTAAATGATTTTTTCTCTAAATTATATATAACAATAATAATAATAATAATAATAATAGAATTAAATGAAAGCACCCACACCTACATACCAAAAATTTTAAGATTCTTCTTCAAAGTTATATATAATGGCAATAATAATAATATTAAATTACAACAAAAACACCGATATACAGCAAAATTTCCAGATACACACAATTTTTTCCTCAATAATAAAATGTATTCCAATATTTATAAGGTTCATCTAACCTACACTCAACACATGCACAACAGCAACTCCTATAAGACCTATTAGAAATTTGATACACATATACATATCTCCCATTTATTCCCACTACCATCTTCAGGAATTAAATGCACAGACATAAGAATGTCCACAAGGCAAAAAACATATCAGAGCTACCTGATCAATGAAAAGTAAACAGAATTCAAAGTGCCAGAAAATTCTCCTCCATAACTCATTTCCAAAGAATTTTTGATGAAACTTAAATAAAAGACATGCTAAATTTATAAACGTTTCTTGTTTGTTCCTTATTTTATGAAACATGATAATATTAAGTGTGATGTAAAATCTTTATCAGGAGTTTCACATTCATATGGAGATAAAATTTTAATCATTGAATTTTAGAAACATGAAATTAAAGTTATTTTCAGCATTTTAATAACCTTGATAAATGAGGAATGGTGTGAATTAATTTGTTGTGCTTGTTTTCATATAGGTTATGTGACATGAATGTCAACACAACATCATCAAACAGGGCAATCTTTATTCAAATTAAATATTTTGGTTCTCTTTATATAACAAAGGGACAATTCTTTAAAGTTGGTCAACACCCAATCACATATCTCAGAACTTATTTTATATATATATATATACACATATATATATATAGTGTTACTAAAAACTATTCAACATGACCAAGATTTTGTCAGATTTTGGTAAGTAGGTTGGGCTGATTACTCATCAACATACTATCATGTATGCACACACACACACACATATATATCATTTCACAATCCTCACACTTGCTCCATATGTGGCCTCCTTTGTAAATCACTATTGGGTCTTAAATGCCACTTAAGATTATCGCACAAACTTTCATAACTGAATCAATAAGCTATCAGATCCTCATACGTCGAAACCGACTGGAGAGTCCATTATTTTATATATATATATATATATATATATATATAATTAAAAAAAGGGCACAAACACTAATATTCCATGGTTATAATTTATTACATTGGAATCGTTATATATATATCTTGTGAACTCTTCTGTCAATCCTTCAATATATGAGGGCCTAAAAGTTAAGTTTTTTTAGAACTGAACCACCAAACTATCTATACATAAGATTTGATTATAGTGGTGAAGATTTTACAGAACCAACCACAATTTTGGGAAGAACTACTAACAGTGCACTACAAACCCTCCAACAGGATTCTTTTTATGATTCTTTTTAATCCTTTCACCCAAGCAAGGCAATAATGCCACTAAGATGAAAGGGGTTACTGGCAGTGGAAGAGGATGAGAAGACTTTATTGAGAAAAAAGGACAACAAAAGAACAAGATTCAGAAAGAAAGATTGTGATTGATGTTGTATTTAAATCTTTGAAGATTGTAGTTGGTAGGAAAGCAATAATCAGAAGAGAGTTCCACAAGTGAGAAGTGTGAGAAAAGAAACTATTAGAATAGAACTGACAATTCCATCAAGCTAATTCAACTGTAAAATGATGATACTTAGTTCATAAGACCACTTAAATTCATGCAGTCAAGGCACCAAGGAGAAGAACTCATTATACAATTGCCATGAAAATATTTATCGGAAAGACAGAAGGAAGCCACATCATGGTGGTGGGAAAGTAACTGAAGTTGAGATTCTGTGTCAGGACAAATAGCATTACAAGATATATAGCAGGAGCACCAGACCAGATATAGCAGCAATATTCAATGCATGGATGAATGGTAGATTTATATATAAGATGGATTCTGACAAAGAGTGAATGAAGTTTCCTATCAGCAGATTTAGCAATTGATTGAATATAATCATTCCAATTCATGTCAGTAGAAAATGTGAGACCAAGATGGGAGGCAAAAATGGTTCTCTTTGGTGATTAAAGGATTGCAATTTTGGAGTCATTCAAATTTACAAGCCATTTCTTGCCACAGTTAACAACTGACTGGAGGTAATTTTAAAGAGCAGCTGCCAATTTTACTTTGTTAGACCTATTTGACTTAGTATTAAGACAGGAGTAAATAGGTGTGTAATCATTAAAAATACCTACTTGGGAACTGAGGACATTGGGAAGATCATTGATAAGGATATGAAATGATGTAGGTCCAAGAATAGAGCTCTGGGGACCACATTCAAGTTGTCTTTCTCCAAGATTGATTGCCAAACAAAGCTATGGAGTGCAGTCTACCCTGTTATTTAAACCTTAACTGAAGGTTTAGAGATAGATATATGTTTTTCCTAATTTGTTTCCTTGTAACTTTTGGTTTTTTACATTGAAAGACAGAGAACTTTGCAGACAGTTTTGGAAAGTGGAAAGGATGCTGTATTATAAATGGCATCAAGGGAGAGTACTTTCAAGGGTACTAAGGTGCCATTGCTTTGAGTAAGCTATTTTCTTTATTAGTATTAAGTAACTGGGTACATTTTGGCTTGGTTTTACAGCATTTCAACCTTTTCCAGGTTATTTATTGTTGAATATTAACATTTTGATAAACAATAAATAGGTAAACATATGTCAAGTATGCATGATTGTCAAAAGGGTAGACATGGGTCTGGTTTGCACAAGTGTCAAAAAAAGTAAACATTGAGCAAACAGGTGACCCCTTTTGAAAGTTGGATTACCTCTCTGCCCAGGGATGCTGTCTGCATATTCAGACAGGTGAATACTTACCAGATAGACCTCAGATAAAGATGAATGCATGTTATGTACACTATATATTTTACAAGTTAATTTTATATAAATGGTGATGATTAAATAATTTATGATATGTCTCATGTCTAGATCAGTCCCAGTTTTTGAGGAGAAAGGAATTAAATATTACAGTAGAAAAGCACAATATTTTTGGTAAGGTGGTAGGATAATTATTTTGGAATAAAATGAACTTAAGGGTATAAAATAAATAATATATTTTTATTTTCTGTAGAGTGATGAGTGAGTCCTTTAGTATTCGGTGTAGCAAAAAGTTTGTTATTAAGTTGGATATTGGTATCATTCTGAACAGATGTCCGTTAATAGTAATATTTGAAGTAAGACCATGATAAGGGTACTAGTAATGTTAGAAATATCTCAGTGTCTATCTTCTGCATTTTTCTTGTCCCTAAGCAGGGCAGAAATCTTATTATTAGATTTACCTCTTTACTACTTTATACTTCATGCATAGCTTGTTTCTCTGCAGTAACATTTCTGTTCATCACTCTCACCATCTCTTCTAGTTGAGAGGTGTAAGCTTGTATATGTTTTGACCAAACACAAAGACTCTGGTGTGAATATTGCCTTTGGCTAACATCA